GATAGATAGATAGATAGATAGATAGATAGATAGATAGATAGATAGATAATAGATAAGGTGGATGGATGGATGGATGGATAGATGGATAGAGATAGACAGGTAGGTAGGTGGGTAGGTAGGTAGGTAGGTAGATAGTAAACAGACAGATAGACAGTAACAGTGGGGGTATTCTACAGGTTAGGCCCAGTTCTGGTGTACCGGTAGCACCGATGAGCAACGGAGATCGAACCAGTTCTCCCCTACGCTCTGCTCTTGGCCCCACCCACCCGCCTGGGCTCCCATACTGACCTCTATTCCTTGCTTTTGAAGCGCAGCTGCTTTGCACGGCACAGCCGATTGCTACGCATCAGTTGCTGAAGCGACAGGCAGAGTGCAGGATTGCAGGAGGTGAGTCAGAAAGCCTCTGCACCTGCGCAAAGGGCACATTTGGCGCACGTGTGCAAAGTGTGCATGCATGCAAAGCGCCCCCCACCAAGCCACGCCCACCGAACCAGTGGTAAACTTTTTTGAAACGCACTATGGATGGTAGGTAAGTAGATGGATGGATGGATGGATAGAAGATAGGCAGACAGATAGATAGAAATAGAAATAGGATATCTTAGTCCAATTTATCATGAAATGCATTATAACATACTTTTAAGATAAGAAATAACGAAATCATAAAAATACAGCCTCCATTAGAAAGTGCAGTCAGGTTGTATGATAGATACAATTCTGCCCTCTAATGCTTGGTGCCCTTCCCCATCAGGCACATCCGCATCAGTGCTGGCATCAGCATATAGTCAGCGCCCAGATTGGGAGTGTTGATGAGATTGGCCAACCAGATGGTTCTTAGATGCACTCAAGGAAGGCCATGTAGGCCCAGCCCTCCAGCATAATAGTTTCTGTAGATCTGGTAAATTGCAAGCACATTGCTCTTAACATAGTTATTCTCCTACACAGGTGTTATGACAAGGACGTCTCTGTTCTCACCAAGATTCAAGCACCTGGAGTGGGAAAAAATCTCTTGGAAATATCTTTTCTGTTTCCTATTTATAGGAATTCAGATCATATCCAGATTTAACTTATTTAATGCCATTACCTTTCCACGGGAAATTCTGAAAACAATCGTTTTCAAAAAAGGAAGCAGTCTGCAACATAGATGTGTATATTAAAAATAATTGTTATGTGATTTTGCATTGATTTAGTGAGGGCATTCACTGTCTTACTCTTCAGTAAGAAGAGTAAATCAGCAAACATTGCACAATATTGTAAAGTTATAGTATGGCCTTTAAAGCGAAATTAAAACTTATTGGACTTGAAACCAGCCATTCTTTGGATGCAGAATTGCTTCTGGGCCAGTGGAAATTCTTCATATTCACTGAGGCAGAATATTTTTAAGCCAGGGTTGTCAAACTCAAGGCCTACGGATCACATCCACCCCCCAGGCCATGGGGTGCTTAGATATGGCCCACGGGGCTGGCCTGGAAATAGCAAAGGACCAGCCCGCAATGCCTCTGCCAGCGAAAATGGAACACGGGGGGGGGAGGGTATCAAAACAAATTAAAAACAAAACAAAAGGAGAAATATTTCCCATTTTGCATTTGAGCATGCAAGAAGGGACAGGAAAGGAGAAAGGGAAAGAGGAAAGGAAAAGAAAGGAAAAAGAAGGGAAGATGGGAAGGAAAAATAAAGGAAAAGGGGAAGGAAGAAAAAAGGAGAATAAAGAGGGAAGGAAAGAAGAGAAGAGAAGAGAAGAGAAGAGAAGAGAAGAGAAGAGAAGAGAAGAGAAGAGGTTATAATGAGAGTGAGGGAGGGTCTCAGGGAAGTCCTGCTTTAGCACTTGGCCACCACAGGTGCCCCTGACACGAGTCCCATATCACGCCCACCATGGCCATGCCCACTACTGGCCATGCTCACGATGGCCATGGCTACCCCTGGCCATGTCCCACCCACCCCAACCCTCTGAGGTCAAACACAACCCTGATGTGGCCCTCAATGAAATCAAGTTTGACATCCCTGTTCTAAATGATCACCTTTTTAGTTCTGACAAATTTTTGCTGGTCATAAACATCTCCTCTCTGGCGGTATAGGGACCTGCAGAAAAAAAGCAGCTGCTTGTGCAGATCTGTGTGGAAGAATGATGCCAAGATATGAATCACTTGGGGCTTTTAAGATTAAGATCAGGCCTTTAACTGGGTCTAGAAACAGGCCAAGAGCAACAGAATTAAAACAACAAGTAGTGAGATGTATTCCATTTGAATGATTCCACACAGTTAAGTATTAATTTCATTTTGGGACAAATTGCATTGCAAATACTCTTCAAAGACATCCCTACAGCAAGATGCAGCAGTCCAAGCAAAATGATTTAGAGCTATCCGATCTAGACTGCAAAAATCCACATAGCCACAGGGTGGCGTCAGAGATTCCAGTTATATGTATATCTTTGCTGCCATTAGTAGCCATTTGGCTTTTTGCAGCTCAAAACTGGTATCTTAAAGTATTCCATCGAGTAGTCAGGCTTTCGCTGTTGAAGAGGAGATGAGGCATAACTGATATCCTGAATGGGGGCTCCATGTTGCAAAAGCCATGTTAGCCATGACTAGATTAAAGCACCTATTCAGCCCCCTCCCCCGGCAAAAAAAAAATCAATTCCTTGGGAATACAGCTTAAGTCCACCGACATTCAGGCCTGCAATAGGAGGAGATGGACGAGCAGCTTCTTCCAACTGGTCAACTAGAGTTGACATGGCACAATCTGTTCGTAAGCAAATAAATGACCTTCTGAACTGCAGGCTACCCAACATATTATTGTGTGCTTTTGATGGAATGGTGAGTTTGCAGTTCAGTTTTTTGTAGGAACCTAAGCAATGGAATCAAGTCCATAAAGACGGCCCACCTAGAAGATCCCCTTTTAAAAAAAACATCCTTCCTAAAAGTAGAAAGCTATTGTAGCAAATCAAAGAAGCAAGACTAGAACTTGCTTGCAAGACACCCTAAGATAGTTGTTTTCTACTTGAAGAAAGTTTAGATGAGGTAGCATTCAAATGTTGTATCCCTCACACACCATTTGAAGGGAGCCCATGCTTTCTGTCTTTTTGTACTGCCTTGATGGTAGTTGCTTTTGAGGGGGGCGTGGGGGCAGGGGGACAGATGGCTATTTGAGGTTTGCTTGAAAGTGGGTGTGTTTGTTCCTTCCCTTTCCACAGGAGACAAGGTTAGCTCTGCCAAAGCCAGGTAACCTTAATTGCAACCTCAGTATATCCTAAAGTCATGTTATGGTCTACCATTCTTCACTAAACCTGAATGCTCCCTTTCTTCGTTTTGCTGGGTACTTCTCTAGGTAGATTTTTTTTTTCCTTAAAATTCAGCCCATCGACCAAAACCTGTCCCTTTCAAGGGATGCCAAGTTGAGGAAGCACACGTTCCTTGTCAAACAAACACTAAGAAGCAGTCAAATGGCTGGATGAAGAGGTTGCATTTCCTCAGGAATCCTAGGTGGGCATTCATCTCTCTTCTTTTCTTGCTTAGCTATTGCTGTATTTATTTCTTTTCCTGCAAACGGTTCACAGGAGCATTTTCTTAATCAAACACAGAAGAGCTTTTTGAGAAAGAGCAGAGATGGAATCTCATCTTTTCTGGCTGATTGGGGGGGGGGGCAGGGAAAATGAGGTTTCATGCCTTCATTTACTTGTCCTTTTCAGAAAGCCCTGACAGTTTTCCTTTCATCTCCCTGCCTCTCAACTTTATTATCAGGGCAAGTTAATCAATCCCTGGATAAGAAGGACGTAGGCTGTGGATCCTATGATCAGCACCAATGAGAGAGCAAAGAAATCCTCAAAGAAGCATCAAAATAAACCAGAATAAAACGGGAAAGGAAGAATGAGGAGCAAGCAAATCGGACCTGCTCCTTACCCATCCTCTCTCTTGGTTCATGGCCAAGAAACACTCACGTGAAGGTTGATCATTTCTCCTTCCGATCCCATCTTTAGTCTCCCCAGGTTTTCTCCTTAGTCCTCTTGAACCCACACAAGAGATCAAGTCTCAGTAGCCTTCTGGATTCTCCAGAGCATTTGCTGGGTGGGAGGGAAAGTGCAGTTCGTGGAACAAACCTGCTATTCATTTGCCTGGAGTCCAACTCTCACTTTGGCTGCAGCATTGGAATGGGGGAGGAGGAGAGAGACTGGTAGCGGTGGTGAAGGAGGCAGTGGCACGCAAAGCCTTTATTGTCTCCAAGACGCTGAATGGTCCTCCTTGTTATTTAGCCATGACTGCACGTCTCTGGAGCTTCTGGATCCAGCTGAGTCCTATGAAGTCACTGGGGTTGCAATTCAGGGACACCTGCAAATGTACCACTGGGTTCATGGCACAGATCAAGCCAGCCTTTGGCAGAAGACGGGTTGCAGCTAGAGGGAGTTGGAGTGCAGATGGCACAAGACTGGCCCTCTCGGTGTGTTTGTTATTCCAGGCAGCCGCTAAAAAGACCAAGAGAAATCAATCACTAACAGCAAGGAGTCACTTTCCAGCTCCAGATTCATAATGTTGGGACCAGTTCTTACCCACCCAGCAGCAAATTATCCAGTTGATAGTTAGAAGCAGCAGAGTCCATAGGTTGTCATCACAAAACTAGAGATGGTAGCCACCATGGTGAGATTAAAGCGCCACCTGTTAAAAAAAAAATAGATGGATCATTGAATCACTATTGTGGCCGCCATTTTGACTTTTTACCACACTCTGTGGATAATCTTGGTTAGAAACTTTTAGAAGTAGCAGTCCTGCCCCTTTCCCTGATGTTTCTTAAAGCTATCTTTTCCAACCAAGAGGGACACCAAAGGATATGATCTCAATTCAAAGAATGTTCTTTCTGTGGCAACTCAGAAAGCTCAAACTGCCCAAGAAGCTGCTGATACAGTTCTACAGAGGAATTATTGAGTTTGTCATCTGCACCTCTATAACTGTCTGGTTTGATTCTGCAACACAGCAGGACAGACACAGACTTCAGAGGATAATTAGGACTGCAGAAAAAACAATTACTACCAACCTGCCTTCCATCAAGGACCTGTATGCTGCACGAGTCAAAAAGAGGGCTGTGAAAATATTTACAGACCCCGCACATCCCAGACGTAAACTGTTTCAACTCCTTCCCTCAAAACGATGCTATAGAGCACTGCACACCAGAACTAGACACAAGAACAGTTTTTTCCTGAAAGCCATCACCTTGCTAAACAAATAATTCCCTCAACATTGTTCAACTATTTACACTACTATTACTGTTAATCTTTTCATCGCTCCTTATCACCCATCCCCTCCCACTTGTGACTGTATGACTGTAACTTTGTCGCTTGTATCCTTACGATTTATACTGACTGTTTCCTAGTATGATTTGATTGCTTATTGTACCCTATGGCTATCATTAAGTGTTGTACCTTATGATTCTTGACTCTTGATGAATGTATCTTTTCTTTTATATACACTGAAAGTATTTGCACCAAGACAAATTCCTTGTGTGTCCAATCACATTTGGCCAATAAAGAATTCTATTCTATTCTACATGGCTTCATGCACAGATGGTACAATAGGTTTGATTCCAGAGATCCAGAATCCCAAGGAGAAATTTTACATTCAGCCCTGCTGCCTAAAATTATTTCCCTGGCGACCTTCATGGAAAACTCCTACTGGTTGGGTTTATGTTTCCCTAAACCACAGAATATTTAATAATAGCTTATTGAATAAACCATTATTGGCTAGATTTGTAGAACACACTCTCAGTTACCAACCATGACGGAGCAATCAGAAGGAGAGTACTTCACATCTGTGATTTGGTATGTTCTCTCAGTCCACTTCAGTGAATTAGGAGCTTTCTTCTTCTTGGAATATCGGTTGTTACTTCTTTTCTCAACTGATAATTGGTGTCCCTTCAACATACAGAATTTCCAAGAGTAGCTTCCATTAAAACCAAAATAATATAAATTGCAGTGTCAAAATATCAGGTTCTAATGAGCAACAACTTTAAAGAAAAACCAAGTTGATGATCCAGAAACATAGCTGCAGAAACTCATTTAACTGTTCTTTATATCTATCTAAAAACGAAATACCTCTCACGCATCATCACAAAATCTCCAGAAGCGTAAAGCCTACAAACTTGAAATTTGGCATGTGTGTTCCTTTTGGCTTCTAGGTGCTCACTAAGAAAGGATTTTTCGAAATGACCATCAGATCATTACTATTTCATATATTATTATTAACATGCTCTGATACTAAGGAATTCTACTCCCACTCCCCACCTGAAGAGAAATCTGTTCCAAATGCAAAACACAAGCAGAGGAGAGGAGTTTCACTTTCACTTTCAGAGCAGCAACCAGCTTTAGTACAGAACAGTTGAGCTAAGCCACACCCAGGCTCTTTGCTGTCTCCTTCTTGCTCACACAGCAAATACTGTTTCAGTTTCCAAACAGCCCTCAGCTCTCTCACACACTGACAGGATGCTAGCCAGATGAATACCGATGGATGCTGGTAAGCAGAGGCAGAATTTTTTCCCTCTTATTTTCCTCCCCAAAAACTAAGCCTGACCACATCATTTCGTAGCGAAGCATGGGTATCGAGCGTATGTATGTATGTATGTATGTATGTATGTATGTATGTATGTATGTATATATGTATTATATTTAAAGACTCTTGTTGGAGCTTTGGTGAGCCGCTTTGAAAATAGTTTGCTTTTTCCCAAGGGGAAGGTGTAACTCCATGGGAGGGTTTAGTTTAGGCCTGTAAGCACAAGGTCACTGTTTCAGAGAAGCTAAGGTAAAAATGCTAATATAGATTTTCTAAGAAGATGTATAATAACCATTATAAATAAGGTCAGAATTGAAATAAGTATGGCTAAATGACAAAATTATATGGGAAGCTAATATATTTGCATAGTTATTTGCATAGTTATTCTAGGCTTCTGACCTCAAGCTGCAAATCCTATAAATTATCATTTATGATCATATTATTTGCATCTTCAGGAGTCAAATAAATATTTGCCTGGCTATAAAGTTGAAGACAAAATCTTTGGAACAAAAGTAGTCTTTGGTTTGAATTAGTTTGGTTGATTTAAATCATGTGGGTTTAATTTTAAGTTCATTACATTTCATAGTCTTTGGATTTAAAGGCTCCCCCTGCCCTCCCATCTTTTAACTTTCACTTTTCCCAAAGGACATACTTTTCCGCAGAAGTTTAAAAAGCAAAATTGACAGTGCATCTGATGGTTTGCTGTAGCTCGCAAAATCAAATTTGAGAAGTATTATTGTGAAAAAGAAAAAGAGATTAACCAAAGAATGTGTACTTTAAATAAAATGCAGCATGTGTATCTATTTGGAGTTTATATCTGTAAAGATATAAATCACAAGCAGTCAAAATGTTTTCCGCCCTATAATATAGGGTTGTCTCACACTGTCCTTCAAATATTTGAATAGTGTAATCATTCCAATTAGTCCCCACCCTCCTCTTTTCATCCTTACTTCTCTACCATAAATCTTCTCATTGCTAATCATCACTTTTCTTAAAGTACAAGCCTAACATTGAATGTAGTATTTCCCATGCAGTATAAAATACAGTGACAACCAGTTTGGCCTTATAGTTACGGCATCAAGCTAGAAACCAGGAAACCATGAATTCTAGTCCTGCCATTGGCACAAAGCCACCCTGGATGACCTTCGGCCACTTACTTTATCTCAGCCCTAAGAAGAAGGCAACAGCAAACCACTTCTGAAAAACCTTGCCAAGAAAACTGCAGGGACTTATCCAGACAGCCTCTGAGAATTGAACAGAAGAAAGAATAATAGAATACAGCAGCATCCAAGCTGATCTTAGCTGGCCTTGAAAAAGCTAAACAATATTGGACCTAGTTAATAGTTGGATAGGACACCACCAGGAAATTTCTGGGCTTTAAATTAAAAAGTCCAGGAAACACTCTGGAAACAGGCGACAACAAACTGGGCTAAATATATATAACGAATGGTTGCTGGAATTGGGTATGTCTAGTTTGATCAAAAGAAGGACTAGGGGTGACATGTTGGCAGTGTTCTAATATCTCAGGGGCTGCCCCAAAGAAGAGGGAGTCAAGCTATTCTCCAAAGCACCTGAGGGCAGGACAAGAAGCAATGGATGGAAATTCATCAAGGAGAGAAGCAACCTAGAACTAAGGAGGAATTTCCTGACAGTGAGAACAATTAATCAGTGGAACAACTTGCCTCCAGAAGTTGTGAATGCTCCAACGCTGGAAGTTTTTAAGAAGGGATTGGATTAACCACTTATCTGAAATGGTGTAGGGTTTCCTGCTTGAGCAAGGAGTTGGACTAGAAGACCTCCAAGGCAGTGGTGGGATTCAACCGGTGTAACAACTGGTACGCTGCGCGTGCAGTTCATTTGAAAACAGCTCTAAAACTTACCTTCAACTGCAGCCCCGGTGAGGAAAACAGCTGAGGCACGGCATTTTGCTCTGCTGCACCTATCAGCTGAGCTTCAAACAAAGGAAATAAAGGATAGACTAGCGCAAGGGTGGGTGAGCGGGGCCAACTGATCGCCGGATACCGTTTTGCCCAAACCAGTCCATACCAATCCCACCCTTGCTTCAAGGTGCCTTCCAACTCTTCTCTTCTCTTCTCTTCTCTTCTCTTCTCTTCTCTTCTCTTCTCATGTCGCTAAGAAAACAACATGAATATGTCCATGAAGTTATCCACAGTCCTGCTCAAATCAAGTGAGGTTTTTGATTCCTGAAAATGTATGTATGCGTGTATTTAAATTTATTACAGCTGCCCAACTCCAATGGACTCTGACTTGTCCAGAACGTAATAGAGTTGTTATTCCCCTGACTTTGAAACTGTGCTTCTGTCTATTAATTTGGCCTATAATCATATTAGATTTCTTTGCAGCCATGTTACACAACTGTTTTTTGTTTGGCTTCTGTTAGAGTCCTATTCTGGGTGATCACAGTCATCCCTGACTGGTTTTGACATCATGATAATCTTTCCAGCTGTTGCAGTCCTAGAAATCTCGAATCACCTCATCATATTTGATATTCAGGCAAATGTTTATCCAGAATCCAACCATTGAGATATC